GTGGCTTTTAATTTTAACTTTAATTTATATTGAAGTCTGTCATTCCTGCATGGGTTCTATTGAAAGTATGACAATGCTTTGATCTCTCTTTGGTTTGCACAAGTATGTGTACAAGTATAATTTACAAGGAGGAAGCCAAAAAAAAAAAAACCCAGAATTTATTTATAAAAAAATGATGTATTTATTCTTACATGTTTAAACTCCAGTCACCTTCAAAATCCTCTCCATTAGATGCAATGCATCTATCGAGACAGTTTTTCCACCGCTCAAAACAGTATTTGAACTCATCCATTCTGATGCCTTTTGGTGTTTCTGCCTTTTTTTTTTTTTTTTTTTTGGTTTCACCTCTTCCACATCAGCAAAATGTTTCCCTTTGAGGACATTTTCATTGGGGAAATAAAAACAAAAGAAAGTCACTCAGGATGTAGGGAGGGTGGGGCACGGGGGTCATGATGTTTTTGGTAAAAAACTGCTGAACACTCAGCACGGAGTGGGCAGTTGCTATCATGGTGGAAGAATCATCACCTGTTTACCACAACTCGTTACGTTTCTTCCGCAATTCATGATGTAAAGGGTCAACCAAAATTTCTTTCTGGAAGTTTTGAGAAGGTTGAAGGTGTCTGAAGTTTAAACATGTAAGAATAAACACGCAACTTTTTAATAAATAAATTCCAGGGTTTTTAGGGTCCCCCCTCGTGTTTGGTTTTTTCACCAATGATAATGACACCTGCAGAAGGATCGCCGGAGCCCAGCAGGTTGAGGCTGCGGTGGCCACGAGTGTGCCACTGCACTCCAACCTGGGTGACAGAGTGAGACTCCAACTCAAAAATAAAAATAAAAAAGAATCCACATGTCAGAGTGCTTGGGGGTCTGAGTGTCATAGCTCGGCTGACTGTATGTGTTCCTGTCTCTGCTCATGTGTCTTATATGTTCATGAAGACTACAGTCTCTGTGGGTGCTTTTTGGCAGTAACTGGAGATGTCACTCAGTGTACAGGGCAGAAACCCCCAAGAAGAAGGATGGTATGGTTCTTGGCCGCCTTCATTTCTTGTAAAAATCTTGAAGAATGATATTCCTGGATGAGGCAACTGAACCTGTCCATCATCCGAGTTCTAGGGAGGGTCTCAAAGCAGCAGAGACTTGCTGCCAGCCACTGAACCTAACCCCTTGGGCATAACTGCCCAGGTTATCAGATTCAGACTTCCAGGAATGAAGTTAACCCACTTTGGGCTGAGTCCAAACCCACGTAGGACTTCATCGGAAGGGAAGGAGAGATTACTAATAAAACTTGTAGTCATTTTTTATTCTGATCAAAGCCAGCCACATCCTATTTAAAAACCTCAAAATAAAAATAACCCAATGATATTTTAGGGAGAAAAAAAGCTGTACCTTCAAATAGACCATTTAAAATCAGTCATTATTGGGTTGGGTGCAATGGCTCATGCCCGTAATCCCAGCACTTTGGAAGACCGAGGTGGGAGGATCCCTTGAGGTCAGAAATTTGAGACCAGCCTGGGTAGTGAGACCCAGTCTCTAGTAAGAAAAAAAATAAATAAAACAAGAATAAAATACAGTTAATATTTTAACTAAAACAGATGCTTTAATATAAGCAAATAAATGACACCAGTCTACTACAGATCACCAAGGCTCTCACCTTGTTTTGAAAAAAAAGGTTCACTTGAAAGCATCTGAAACCTGCTGGTCAATATATTTTATGAAATATATATTCATTGTAGAAATTTAGAAAACACTAAAAATAGGAAAAGAGAAATAACAATTACCCACATTAACGCTGCCCACTGCTAATATTTTGGTGGAAGAACCCATCACCTGTTTACCACAATTCGGGACGTTTCTTCTGCAAATCATGATGCAAATGGCCAGCCCAAATTTTTACCTGGAAGTTTTGAGAAGGTTGAAGGTGCATGACATTGAAACATGTAAGAATAAATTTGCAACTTTTTAATAAATAAATTCCAGAGTTTTTTGGGTCCCTCCTGATATTTGGTTTCTATCTTTCACTATTTATATCTATACACATATATGTATCTTATAGGAACACTCATGCAGATGAATTTTACTAACTGCGACCGGGGACCCTCCCCTTTTAATGTAAAATTTGGTTTGCGTTTCTCACGCCTGGAAACAATATTTCGACATAGGATACTTGATGCCAGCCTTTACTGCATACAGGACCGTGTTAATTTTCTGCTGTTGGAAAAATGAACTCTTTCACACATCGGTGACATTTTTTTCTTCGCTACATACCTTGAAGTAGAGTGACTGGGTGAGAGGGTGGCCTTAGAATTTCATGTCGCGAGTGAAATTCTTACCCTTTGCCTCTCTGGAGTCGTGATGGTCGCAGCTGTGATTGACAAATGAGTGATGTATTTTCTGAAAAATAAATGGACGCTTTCTTTAGCTGAGAGTCACTACATATGACTTAACATGCTTATGCAACACTGGTAAATAATATAACAGAAGGAACTTTTTCAAAGCGTTTTAGTGCAGCACAGCAGAAGAATTAAATGGTATTCCAGTGGCCTCGGGGGTGGCTTAATTATTGATAGGACCTGGATGAATAAGAATAGTTCACGCTAATGCTGCTGTCGGCTCTCCTGGGGTTTCTCAACCTTCTGGCTAGCTGGTTTTGTTTTTTTTGTTTTTGTTTTTTTTTTAGGAATAAATCCAACCAAACTGTCATTTTTTACAATGATGCAATTTTCTGAAATATTTTAGAAACTATTTGAAATGCGTATTTATAAATGCTTGTCAGGATTGCAGGGGTGTAGTAATTGCTCAGTGCTGCTGTTCTTATGACATTCCCATGGTCGCCTTTATTATTTAGTGCCCCCAGCGCGTGTGTGTTTGGCTGGGCTGTAAGTATAGCAGGTGAGTTGCCACGCAAGAGCATTCATCAGCATGTTAGAGACAGAGACATTTTTTTTTAATTGGAGTCTCACTCTGTCGCCCAGACTTGAGTGCAGTAGCACGCTCCTGGCCACCGCAGCCTCCACCTGCTGGGCTCTGGCGATCCACAGACATGCGCTACCATGCCCGGCTAATTTTTTTGATTTATTGTAGAATGAGGTCTGGCCAAGTTGCCCGGGCTGATCTCGAACCCTCGGGCTCAGGCAGTCCACTCACCTCGGCCTCCCAAAGTGCTGGAATGACAGGCTGAGCCACCAAGCCCTGTTGACATTTTTTTTTTTGAGTCGGGGTCTCACTCTGTCACCCACGCTGGAGTGCAGTGGCACAGTTATGACTCACCATAGCCTCGACTTCCTGGGCTCCAGCGATCCTTCCGCCTCAGCATCCCGAGTAGCCAGGACTATAGGCGCACAATACCATGCCTGCATATATATATGTGTGTGTGTGTGTGTGTGTTTTTCTTTTTATAGAGACAGAGTCTTGCTATGTTGCTCAGACTGATATCAAACTCCTGAGCTGAAGCAATCCTCTTGCCTCAGCCTCTCAAAGTACTGGGATTACAGGAGTAAGCCACCGCACCCAGCAATCAGACTTATGAGAAGAACACTCATCAGATGATCTGCGGGTATCTCCTTGAAAATGTGATCTCATAATAAAAAGTCCCACAACTGATGTCAGCTACGTTGAAGATTTTGTCACACTGGATGGTGCTGTGATACTCGCACTCTAACGTTAGTACAGTCATGCTCTGCTTTGCAATGTTTTGGTCCCCATCCACATAAGATGATAGTGAAGCTCCCCTAACCAGGTGCGTCATTTTTTAATCTTTCCTACCACATTTTTTCCTGTACCTTTTCTATGTTTAGGTACACAAACACTAACCATTGTGTTCAACTGCCTGCAGTATTCATTATGTGCTGTGCGGGTGTGTAGCCTAGGAACGAGGGTGGACCACACAGCCTCAGTTGTTTCTGGATACTGTGATGTTCACACAATGAGGGGGTCACCTGACACATTTCTCAGAGTGCATCCTTGTCACTGAGAGGCACATGACTGTGGTAGCACTCAATTACATTGAGAATAATGGCCATGCACTTTGAAGCTTATTTTTTAAACTCTGGAGGTGTAAATGGTTTTAAATGGCTATCTCTAAGTGACACTTATTTTCTTCTGTTTGCTTACCTGTCATTTCTGATTCTTATGCAATGAACATAGTATAAGACACACATACTAGGCCAGGTGTGGTAGTTCATGCCTGTAATCCCAGCACTTTGGGAGGCTGAGGTGAGAGGATTGCCTGAGCCCATGGGTTCGAGCCAGCCTGGGCCACTTGGCGAGACCTCATCTCTACAATTAAAAAAAAAAAATAGCTGGGCATGGTGGTGCATGCCTGTGGTTCCAGCTACTTGGAAGGCTGAGACAGAAGGATTGCCTGAGCTCAGCAGGTCAAGGCTGCCATGGCCGTGAACATGCCACTGCACTCCAGCCTGGGTGACATAATAAGACTCTGACTCCAAAAAAAGACACACATAATAAAACAGTGACTTATTGTAAGCTAAAACCTTAAGGAAAATATTTGGCCCCGTGTAACCCATGTTTGTTGTAACAAAGTGAGAAAACCACATCCAGCAAATTATTCATCCCAAATGCTGTTTATTAGTGGGAAATCCACCTGGTCTCCAGGGTCCGTTGAAATTGTACTTGAGGTGCCACTGTTAGGATGGATGAGATGAGGAGGCGTGAACGAGAGGCTTCTGAGTAGGACAGCAGCTTGTACCTGACTGCAGCCGCCTTCCCGACCTCATCGCCTGTGCAGGGACCAAGTAATCACATCCGCATCCAGGAAACGCTGGAACAATCCTTTTAACTTCAGGCAGATTCGCCCCTCCATCGTCCCCAGCCAGTTGTGTCACCGCACTCCAGTCTGGGCAACAGGGTGAGGCTCCCACCACACACAGGGTGAATGTCCCCACCTCTGCCCCCCAGTTTGATTTTGTGCCTTACCCCTTTATAGCGTGTTGTAGATGTTCTTGGCTATCGGTTCACTCTCTGTCTTGTCCCAGTTCCAGAGTAAGTTCCTGGGGAAAAGACTTTTGTGTTGTTCATGGAAACAGGGACTGGCACAGAGTGGGTACTCAGGAAATATTTATTTATTCAATTTACTTTTTTCTTTTTTAAAAAAGAAACAAGGTCTGGCTCTGTCACCCAGGCTGGAGTGCAGGGGTGCGATTATAGCTAAGTATTGAATGAACACTTACCTCTGTATTAGAAACCTCAAACGTGCTGGGCTCGGTGGCTCAACCTGTAATCCCAGGCCTTGGGAGGCTGAGGTGAGTGGATTGCCTGAGCCCGCAGGTTTGAGACCCACCTGGGCAACTTGGCAAGACCTCATCTCTACAATAAATCAAAAAATTAGCTGGGCGTGGTAGTGCACGCCTGTAGTTCCAAGCTACTTGGAAGGCTGAGACGGAAGGACCGCCGGAACTCAGCAGGTCGAGACTGCGGTGGCCGGGAGTGGCCACTGCACTCCAGTCTGGGTGACAGAGTGAGACTCCAACTCAAAAAAAAAAAAAGAAACCTCAGATGAATGGCATCCACACGACAGAAGCTTCAAGGCATTTTAGCAAGATCCAGTATTGGTAGGCTGCGTTTAAGCAATACTGTAATGGACAACCTGCTTCCCAAGAGAAAGAAGTCAGAGGTCGGGGAGGCCTACCTGCAGAGCTCAGTCGGGAGGGTGGGTGTGCCTCATAGCAAGAACATCCTCTCTGTTCTCTCATGGTTGCCAACCCTGGACCGCAGCATGGAGAACCGCCACGCTGCTCATAGCTCTCATGGATGCCATGAAATTCACAGGAGGACTCCTATGGCCCACCTACCTGTCCCAACTGGAAACTTCTGTTGGGACGGTTTACATTCTTTTTCATCCATTCCTTGGGATATCCATTCTGTGTAAAAATGAGTCAAGAACTGTCTCTCAGAATCAAGCAGGACCTCCTATTTGACTCTTTTAAGAAATGTTTTATTTTGCTTTATGTTTTAGGGACGGGATCTTGCTATGTTGCCCAGGCTGGTCTCCAACTCCTGGGCTCAGATGATCTTCCTGCCTCAGCTTCCCAAAGTGCTGGAATGATAGGTGTGGGCCACCATGCCTGACCTATTTGACTCTTAAGACAACACCAGGCAGCCATGGACTTCCTTAGATAATGATGCACATACTTACAGAGATAAGGATGAGGAAACAGAAGAATCAGCATTCCTGTAAACACAGGCGGTGGTTCACTCCTTCGTTCTCAGAGGGCACTTCCTGAAGCCTTCTTTATGTCAGACATTCCTCAGGAATGTGGACACAGCAGTGACCAAGACAGACTGTCCTTGCTGCTTGGATCTTTTTTATTTGTTTATTTATTTTTTGAGTCAGTGTCTCACTCTGATGCCCCAGCAAGAGTGCAGTGGCACAATCATGGCTCAGCACAGCCTTGACCTCCTAGTCAAGCAATCCTTCCGCCTTAGCATCCCAAGTAGCTGGGACTGCAGGTGTCCACCACCACATCTGGCTCGTTTTTTAAAATTTTTGTAGAGATAGTGTCTCACTGTGTTGCCCAGGTTGGTCTCAAACTCCTGGGCTCAGGCAGTCCTCCCACCTCGGCCTCCCAAAATGCTGGGATTACAGGCATGAGCCGGCATGCCTGATCCCTTGGATCTTACAGTCTGGGATATAGACAGTTAAAAATTTTAGTTACAGAATAGCAGGTTGACTGTGCAGAGCCCTGGAAAAAACACCTGACTTCCTATGACCTGGGGGCTCTGGAAAGCTGGGACTTGAATAGATTTGATGGAGTTAGCCAGGTAAAGCCAGCGAGAGCAAGTGGGCAGAGGTCGGGTGAAGGAGTAGAAAACGCTTCTGGGGAGGAACAGCATATGCAAAGGGCCAGACACGGACCACAGATTCTCAGGAGAAAAGGGTTGTGGTTTGCAGGTGGGGAAGGCAGCTGGCAAGAGAGGCCATCGGAGGAGGAAGAAAGAGCCGACATTCAGGGCCGGCTTGAGTCTGGGTTTCTCCCAGGGGTGGAAACCACTTGCAGGCTCAAGCATGCCTGGAGCGTGGCGTCTGGCTTGAAAGACGACCAGACAACAGCCTGAGATGCCCATTGTGCAGCCCTTGGGATACATCCGGCCCGCGTCTGTGGCAGGAGAGATGAGGCAGGGAGTCCTGGGCAGGGGTGGAGGCAGAGTCTGCAGGCCACAGTGGGAGAGGGGCCTGCAGAGGGTGCCGTCCAGGGGGCCATCGGGCTCTGGCAGTGGTCAGGGCAGCGGCTTCCTGTGGGAGGAGGGGCCTGGGCACAGAGGCTGTGACGGGGAAGGGCTTGTGGGGAGGATGGTGGGTTTAGCTTGGGGTGCACCTGCGGATGACTGGGAGATGTCTCATAAACAGACCAAGAACTTCAGGCATGCACGAGCAAGACTGGGGGGCTGGGAATCCAGACAGGCCTTCAAGTCGCGGGAGTGGCTGAGGCGACCCGGGGGCAGCACAGAGGGTGAGGAGGGAAGGGAATGTGAGAAGTGCTCTCAGCAAATCCGAGAATTAAAGGATGGGAAGGGCTGGGCACAGGGACTCATGCCTGTCTTCCCAGCACTTTGGGCGTCCGAGGTGGGAGGATGGCCTGAACCTGGGAGTTCGAGACCAGCTTGGGCAGCTTAGTGAGACCGTTTCTCTATAATTACGAGCAAAAAACAAAAAAGGCTGGGTGCAGTGGCTCATGCCTATATTCCCAGCCCTTTGGGAGGCGGAGGCGAGAGGATTGCCCGAGCCCACGGGTTCGAGGCCAGCCTGGGCAATATGGCAAGACCGTGTCTTTACAATAAATCAAAAAATTAGCCAGGTGTGGTGGACCGTGCCTGTAGTCCCAGCACTTTGGGGGGCAGAGGCAAGAGAATTGCCTGAGCCCAGGGGTTCGAGACCAGCCTGGGCAATTTGGCGAGACCTTGTCTCTACAATAAATCAAAAATTTAGCAAAGCGTGGTGGCACATGCCTGTGGTTCCTGCTACTTGGAAGGCTGAGATGGAAGGATCACCTGAGCTCAGCAGGTCAAGGCTGTGGTGGCTATGAGCGTGCCACTGCACTCCAGCCTGGGGGACAGAGTGAGACTCCGACTCAAATAAATAAATAAAAATAAAAAGCACTTAGTTTTGGTAAGTTCTGTGTAGCATTGGCCCATATAGACAGTCCTCTTCTCTCAAGGGTCCACTCCCTTGAGCAGTCCTCACCCACACTGACCTTGGGCTGGGCCCCTTGACTTGCTTTGACCGTGGCCCGGCAGGAGATGGGAGACAAGGAGTTGTGTGAACAGTGCCTCCATGCTAGGGCTTGCCCTTCCCTCATGCTTCCGGGACCCTGAAACCACCATGTCAGCAAGCAAGACCACATGAAGGGAAACTGAGGCGTACTGAGTGTCAACTGACCAACAATTAGGCACAACAAGGCGGACGTCTTAGGCCACCCCGTTGGCGCCGACCCCAGCTGGTCACAAATGCAGGAAAGGCAGTCGAGCCAGCCCAGCACAGAAGAACCCCCAGTGGGCTTCCATGATCATGAGCCCAGAACAGGGTTGTTTTAAACCACTGCGTTTGGGGTGCGTACACAGTAAAAGCACACTAGGTATAGACGTGCCCTGCCCTCACCCCCAGAGGAAGATGAAATCCAGAGGTAAGCCGGGCTTGGTGGCTCAGCTTGTAATCCCGCACCTTTGGGAGGCTGAGGTGAGTGAATTGCCTGAGCCCGCGGGTTCGAGACCCGCCTGAGCAACTTGGCAAGACCTCATCTCTACAATAAATCAAAAAATTAGCCGGGCATGGTGGCACACGCCTGTAGTTCCAGCTACTTGGAAGGCTGAGGCGGAAGGATCGCCGGAGCCCAGCAGGTTGAGGCTGCGGTGGCTGGGAGCGGCCACTGCACTCCAGTCTGGGCGACAGAGTGAGACTCCAACTCAAAAAAATTAAAAAAATATATCCAGAGGTAAACACAGTCTTTGGGTGTCTGGAGTTAGCATTCTCTGCCGGGTCCTGCCTACTTGGTGCCTCCGTAAAGACACTGAGTGGCTGTAGCCACAATTTAAACATGGAAAATTAGATCATAGCAGGTTGATTGGGGAAGAAGACCAGATTTAAATTTTTTTTTTTTTGAGTTAGAGTCTCAGCCTGTCGCCCAGGCTGGAGTGCAGTGGCACGCTCACGGCCACCACTGCCTTGATCTGCCAGGCTCAGGCCTTCCTTCTGCCTCAGCTTCCTTCCAAGTAGCTGCCTCCTTCCAAGTAGCTGGAACCACAGGTGCACATCACCACATCCAGCTAATTTTTTAATTTATTGTGGAGACAGAGTCTTACCAAGTTTGCCCAGGCTGGTCTTAAACCCCTGGACCCAGGCAGTCCTCTCTCCTTGGCCTCCCAAAGTGCTGGGATGACAGGCGTGAGTCACCATGCCTGGCCCCAGATTTTAAATTTTAATGCCAAATTGGCAGTAAGCTTCCTGCTTTTTTATCTTTCAGCATCCTCCAGCTTAGATGCAAGGCGACCAAAGCCTGGATGTAGACATCAGACTCACATAAACACAGAGACTCCTTTCATTGTGACTCAAAAAGCAGAATAGAGGGAGCAAAGAAAGTCCCTGGTTTATCCTTTTTCTTTCTTCTCTCTCCTCCTCATCTCCCAGTCCCCAGAAAGACCCCAAATGTCAAGGACAGCAGCAGTGACAGCAGTGGAGACCCATAGCACCTAAATTCTAAAAGGGAGGAGCTTTCCTCCCTGATCAGAGCAGCTGTGATCTGCGGCGGTGGGGCAATACCCTGTTCTATTTTCTGCCACTCTCTGTCTTTCTGCCTCTCTCTGTCCTGCTGTCCCTGGGCCCCAGATGTGGACACAACCATGGTGGGGAGAGCAGAGTAGCAGTGAGAGGAAGGAAAAGGTGAGCCCAAAGAACCAAAAAGTGCTGGAGAGGTTGTGTGTGGGAAGGAGGGAGTTGAGAATGCAGCGCCCTGATGTTCTTTATGAATCTGGAACCTTCAGTTGCACACGAATGGGTCTGAGCTTAAACAGTATAC